CTTTGCTCTTGTTGACGTTTTAGATTACGCTCAACACCGAAATAAACAACAATCCTCTCTGTTCTGTAGCAATTAAGATGGTTTGTGATTATTAAAGACTATATCTAGCCAGTTTTTATAAGCCACCCCATCGTCTCTGACACTGAAAGCAATGCTTTTTCGAGCCTCTTCTTTTGATAGTCTTGACAACAAGGTTTTATATTTTAGGGTAAGGGCCAACAACTGACGTACTGGCTGCATGGAGAATATAGTAATATCGTGGACCCCGTGCCGCCAGGTGTTCGGCTACTCGAGGACGCCTCATCGTGTGGGACTCTTACTAATGTCGCCTTGACTACCGAGCCTGTTCTCCATATTCGCAACGTGTCTGCCGCATTGCCCGCAGTCTATTCAGTCCCAGCCACACTGTACGCTTCGTCCCATAGCGCCGGACAGGCTGGTATCGGGTTTGGAGTCACTTCGCAACGGCCTTCAAGCAAACTCATTGTCACTCCCACTCCCACCACCACTGCAACGGATACCGTCGGCGTTGCCCAATCGCTTGCCCAACCTCCTGACTTCTTCTTGCCACTCGCTGAGACTGTTGAGGCTCTGGACAATGCTGAGAGCAAGTTTCCCAGAGTCATGGAGACAGGCAAGCTTTCTACCGGTTTTTCCACGACCAGCACCTGCACCATTACCAACATGACTACCACGACCAACGAAGCTAACGATAAGCTAACAAACTCCTCTTCTAATCACGAAACTAAGGATGAGGCTAAAACACTTAAAGTTCGCTCTGTTCAGGCAAACGATGCGAGAGAAGAGTCTAGTCTGCCAGGTTCAGCTTTTGGAATTGCCGGACCAACGGTGAAATTGGACAATCCCGATAGCTCTTTGATCACTGTCGAGCCCTGCAAAGGTGTCGGAATCCCATCTGACTCGATATTCGTCGGTCTAGAGACGCTGCCTCATCTGGCCACTGGGATGCACGTGATGGGCACCCGGCACGGTGGATTCGCCACCACTCCAGCCTATCGAGCTGTCATGAAACAAAAGCAGTGCCTTCCTGATCAGCATCCACTTGATCCATCATCATCATCACCACCACCACCATCATCGTCACCATCAGTACCGCTACAACAACAACAACCAATGGGCAAGATCTATCGAGAAGATTCTATCTGATAAACGGTTGATTCGATGCTGGAACAGGCCCCTGAAACTATGCGTTTTAGTAACCTAGGCCTCAAACAGTGCTAGAGCGACAGATGGGACTGTTGTCGAGCCAGA